GATCTAAATCGTTCCTCGATAACGGCAGATTTCTCGCGATGCGACGATAGAGTGGTGATTGAAGAGAGCAAGACGTTAAAGGACCTCATCCACCTCTTCTGCGCGCCTCGCTTCAAGCACCGCCTCCACCGTGTCGCCGTCACCGCCTCGCCAACAAGCCCGGTACGTTGGCTGTCCCCCCTCGCACTACACAGCGGTGCTTACGTCAGCCTCTTCTTTCCTGTCGACCAGGACGAAGCTCCGTCGGTCACGAACGTGGCCAGTTTGTCGGATGTCGTCGCGTTGGCCGTGTCCCAGCCCGACCTGCTCCCGCCCGAGAAGGCCAAGGCGACGGTCGGGGCGCTGAAGCTGGTCAAGCCCATCATCGGTGTGCGCATGGACAGCGCGGTGGTTGACGCGCTCGACATCCTCTTCCACAACAAGGTCAGCGGCATCGCCCTCATCGACCACAGCGGCCGCGTCACCGGCAACCTCTCCGCCAGCGATCTCCGAGTACACACACCGCAATTAACGTCGACACACACACACACACACAACGCGACACACGACACACGCTCGTGCGGCCGGTCACGCAAATCTCACGACTTCCTCCGCAACAGGGCCTGAAGCCAGAGTCGTTCAAATACTTCGAGGGCTCCGTCCTGCAGTTCTTCGTGAAGGGGCTTCCACGCGTGGCGGTACGCATAGCGCGACACGACACGACACGCACGACACGTCAACACTCCACTTCACAGAGGTTTCAAACTCACGCGTGTGCGATCCGTACGGTAACAGACGGGACACGAGAGGGGACCCGGCAGGGCGCCGGTGACGTGCACGGCCGAGGCTACGCTACTGGAGTGCATGGAGCTGATGGTGAAGGAGCAGATTCACCGTGTCTACGTTGTCGACAACCTCGACTCCCTCCACATCTACGGCGTCGTCTCCATGAGCGACCTCATCCACCACCTCAAGTAGTTTGCTCCCCAGAAAAACAAATAAGATAATAAAGGAAATTGATGAATGCTACAAAAATCATTTTTCAGCCCACGCGCAATAACGAAGAAGCATCAAAAGATGAAAAGGGCGGCCCACGCACTTTCGCTCGCAGCCGGCGTCTTGCTGCTCATACTGGTTGTGGTCGAAGGCGAGCTGCCACCCCGCCTGCCCGGCCGCATCGCTAAGGTGAGCCCCCTTCAGATTCACTCAAGATCTGCATCTTCTTGTATTGGGAGGCGCCTGCCATAGCTGTTGGCCAGTGACTGACGCCGGCACATGCGCGCGGCCAACCAAACAACTCAACCCAACGCGGTGCAGCGGTTAACTGAGCTCACCGACCCGGAGGCTCTCTGGCGCGACACGGAGCGCATCGCCATCGTGCGTCCGGCCGACACGCCGGGCAACGCCGCCGTGCGCGAGTACATCGTCTCCCAGTTCACCTCTGGAGGGCTGGCCCAGCCGTGGAACGTGGAGATTGACGAGTTCAGGAGCGCCACGCCCTACGGTGTGTAGTCCTGCGTGTTGTGCGAGCCGTGCGTGTCGTGCACGTCGTGTGTGTCGTGTGTATGTGTGTGTTAAGGGAGGTGGGTGGCGCAGGGGAGAAGACGTTCCGTAACATCATCGTCACGTGGAACTGCGACGCGCCGGAGCGGGTGGTCCTGGCTGCCCACTACGACTCCAAATACTTCCCCGTACTCCTACGCCTATTCCTCCCCCGCTTCCCACCCTCTCGGCTGCTGAGGTGGCGCCCCTCCGCATTGGCCGCACCAACCAACCAACGAGCTGCGCACCCAACACATCAGGAGCCGCGCAACTTTGTGGCGGCGACGGACTCGGCAGCGCCCTGCGCTCTGCTGCTCGACATCGCGCGCTCGCTCGACGCCCACCTCTCCTGCCCCACCTCCACCAACCGTTCGCCCCTCCCCCCTCCAGCTAGTCGTGTGTCGTGTGTCGTGTGTGTCGTGTGTGTCGTGTGTCGTGTGTCGTGTGTCAGTCGCGTAGCACCTCATGTGGTGTGTTTGTGGGGGGAGGGCAGTGGGTCTGCAGCTGGTGTTCTTTGACGGGGAGGAGGCGTTCCGCCATTGGACCCCCACGGACTCCATCTATGGCGCACGCCACCTGGCCGCCAAGTGGGCCGCCGAGGACAAGCTCGCCTCCATCTGTGCGTTCTCCCCACCCTCCTGCTGGACAGACGGTGTGGCCGCATGACTGACTGACTGCGTGCGTGTGGTGTGTGCGCGTGTGCGTGTTGCGTGTGCGGTTGTATGTGTGCTGCAGCGGTGTTCGTGCTGCTGGACCTGATTGGCGCGGCCAACCCCAAGTTCCAATCTTTCTGGACTGAGACCGGTGCGTTCTGGACCTTCCCTTTCCCCGCCAAACCAACATCGCGGTGGCGGCGTGGCTCACATTCGCCCCCGCCAACAGACGAGTACTACGGGCGGTTGCGGACCATCGAGAATTCGCTGAAGCGCACCCTCAACGGGTACCTCCCTCCGTCTTCTCTGGTTGCATGGCAATGCTATGTTGCTCGTTGTTATATTTTTATTTGGTTTTAATTTATTTTTAGTTTTTACTGTTACATTCTTCGCCTTGACACACGTTTATTGGGTGTGTTCCCCCCCTTTGCATTTGATTTCGTTCGATGTAGGACGAGGAACTACTTCCAGTCCAGGTCGATCTCGTACAGCGGCATCGAGGACGACCACATACCCTTCCTCCAGCGCGGGGTCAAGATCCTCCACCTCATCTGCAACCCCTTCCCCCGGTACGCGCGTGCCCCCTTCGCTGTCGCGAAGCTTCGTCTTCGCTTTCTTCATTCTTCATTCTTCATTCTTCATTCTTCATTCTTTGTCGTCTTCTTTCTTGCCATGCGCCTTACATGTGCGGCGTAATCCTAGGGTGTGGCACACGGACTACGACAACCTCGACGCCATTCACCTCCCCACCCTCTCCGACATCTCCAGTACTGCCCCCTTCTCTCCCAGTCTTCAGTGTTAATCACTTGACGCCACGGCGAATGTGTGATGCTGATCGCACGTTCGGGGGGCGTGCAGCGATCATGCGAGTCTTTGTGGCCGAGCTCATGGGCGTGCGCGATGAGGGTAACGCCGACGGGAGAAGAGCAGGTAAGCAGCGAGAGGCCCTTCTCCACAACGCCTCCGCTGAGGTGGTGGCTTAGTCACTCCCCCCAACCAAGCGCACGCACAGCCCTCAATCTCACCCTTGAATTCGTGTGGGGCTGGCCGCGACTAAAAGGCTCCCCTTCCCCTTCTCCCGTGCTCCCCGACCACTCAGAGCTGTGAATCGGTGGTGGCCCTTTCCGCGCGGGACTCGCAGCCGCACGCGTTTCGGAAATAAAACAGTCACTATAACTTTGTTTTAGAGAAGCTTGGCCCGCCAGTCATACTCGTCTTCGTCGTCGTCTTCTTCTTCATCGTCCTCCTCTTCCTCTTCTTCGTCGTCCTTGTCTTCCTCCTCCTTTGGTTTGGATGGTTCGATGTCCATCGTCGTGCGCTCGTCGCTGCTGCTGACGTCGGTCGAAGCTCCGGCAGGCTGGGCGCCCATCTTTTGTCGCAGCATCGCCAGCTTCCTCTGTCGCAGCTCCTGCAGTTGCGACAGTCGCTCCTCTGTATGTTCGCACATGTGTGTGTGTGTAAGTCGACAAAACTATCCAACCAGCACGTCACGACCTTTCGACCGAAGAGGTAACGGGCCAATAGAATACCTTTGCGCTGAAACTCGAGCGAGATCTCCTCGTCCTCTTCGTTCTCCTCGGCTTCCTCCTCTTCGCCGCCGATGAGGTCTTCGAGCTGCGCCAGGTTCTCGCTCTCCCGCTTCTTCTTCTCCTCGTCCTCGGCCACCTGGGTCATCGTGGCCTGGAACTTCTCCCACTCGTCCCTGCGCGCAACAGAGATGAGCCATCACACAAGAACGAACAAGAAGCGAAGAAGCGAAGAAAGAACGAAGAATGAAGAACGAAGACGTACTCGAGGGAGGGCTTCTGTGCGGCGGCCTTGGGCCGCATCTGGGAGTCCTTGTTGGGATCGTCGAAGAAGCCCGTCGGCAGTGCCCCCTTGCTCTCCGCGTCCCCGCTCGGCTTGGCCTGGCGCACCAAACACCACAAGCAACGCACGACACGACACACGACACACGCGACACGACACACCAATCGAGCATTCGATCAGCGATATCAATAGCGATCAGCGGGGGAGGGGAGAGAGGCGTGTGTGTTACCTGCGCCTCGATCACGACTTGGCCGGCGGCGGGGGCGGACGACGCCGCAGCGGCGTCAAAGAAATCGGCCGGAATCGCGCCCTTCTTGGCCACGGGCGCCTCCGCGGCCTTGAGCTTCTTGCTCGGCGATGGGACATCAGCGGCCTCAGTGGCAGTGGCGGCGGCATCGAAGAAACCCGCCGGCAGCGCCGACGAAGAAGTCGACGACGAAGAGGAAGAGGAAGACGACGAGGGTGTCACTTCGTGGGCCTTTCGCTTGGCGGAGGCGGCCGGGGAGGGCGGCGGTGCGTGCGCCCCTTCCTCCTCCTCCTCGTCCTCCTCATCGCCGTACCCCAGGAGAAGCGAGGGCGCGCTCTTTTCTTTCGCCTTTTCTTTTCCCTTACTCTGTTGTGCTGCAGCTGGTGGTGCGGCCACCGGAGCCAGCGGCGCCTTAAATCCCGACCTGGCGCCCATCATCGACTACGTTAGTTATCGCACGCAACGACCAGATGACACACGCACGACACACATACTACACGCCCGGCCCATACACACACGACGCACATACGACACGCACGGCACACACACTTCACGTCGACGCGAGACTGAACGGTAGGTCAGGCGTACGGGGCAGCGGCGGCAGCGGGCGGTTGGATCGGTCTCTTAAAGCCCGCGGGTGTGGCGACCGGCGTGGTGGTGGTGGCGCCACTCTTGGCGTCCTTCTGCTTCTTCAGCTCCAGAATGGCCTGAACAGACACGACACGACGTACACGTCGGGCGTCAGCTGCGTAGTTGCGCGGTGTGTGCACGCATTGCTGCCATTCCACACACGAACACACACGACAGCAATGGGGGGGGTACCAGCTTGTGCTGCTTGGAGGCGACGTGGGCGTCCCACAGGGCCTCGTCCTTCACTGTGACCTCGCACACACGGCACACCGGCTGCCCCACGGCGTTGTAACTGCACGCGGAACGAAAAATAAAGTTGAAGTTTATTTAAAAACAATGTGTCGATTCATAATTGATTGACATATGTGCACAAACACAAACACAAGATCTGGAGATAGAAGCAAAAATAAAATATAAAAATATAACATTAAATTACAAAAGGACACGGTACCGGACGAGGGGCGAGGTGATTTTCTTCTCCTGCTTCTTCTGCGCGAGGGCAGAGCGCATCATCTTGCGCAAGTCGCCCTTGCCTGCCGCTGCTCCCTTCATCTTTCAATCCGCCACTGCACCTGATTTGCGATTTATTCGCTTTTCCTTGTTTTTCTCGACCATCGTTAAGGTGGCGGTTCGATGACAAAAGTGTTCTTGGACTTCTCACACCGTTCCAGGCTAGATGTCGGCCAGCACTCGACGACTCTTGCCATGGTCGTGGCTCGCCGGCTGGGTGTCTTCACCTTCTTGCGCACGCTGGCCTCTGAGGCCCAGATCGTAACGCAACGCAACCACAACACTACATCCAGTACCCATGGCTGAGAAGAGAGAGACCACCACCGCGCCGCTGCCCGACCTGACCGAGAACATCGAGGAGGACTGGCACGCGTACAAGGAGGGCAAGGGCAGACATCGCCACCTGGAGCGCAACGAGGAGAAGTTCCCGCCCAAGGCCCACGAGGAGAACGTGCCCGACCACAGCGAGACGACGCCCGACCCGGGCAAGGAGCGCGTCCTCAAGGGGCACACGCTGCCGGTCTCGCTCAAGGCCGCCCGCCGCATCCAGTCCGAGGCCGACAAGCACGCCACCACCGCCACCGCCCAGGACCTCAAGCGCGACGCCATGTCCAGCGCCGAGCACACCTCGCACACCCGCGTCTGAGGAGAGAGAAATGCCACGCTCGTGCGCGATTGCTTGCTCCAAGTAAATAAACTGAAAAAGTTGTAAATAAATAAATAAAAACAAAAAGATATAAACAACTAAGTGGGTGAACCGGTCGGTCACTGCTGCTGGGGCGGGTTGATGGTGTTGTAGACCGCCACGTAGTCGGCACCGGGATTGTCTTCGGCCGCCCGGGTGTAGACCTCCCGCAAGCTCTCCACGGCCACAGTGTTCACTCCTGTAGTACTCTCGCTCAGTTTAGAATGGCCGCTTTCGTGCAAGCCAAGAGTGCAGCAGTGGTCAGTGGCGTACCGAGTCGTGCCGCTTCAGCCGAGATGAGCTCGCTGTCCTTCTTGGCACCTTGTGGGGCGAGAGATGATCGGTCAGTACCGGGCGACCCACACACACAAAGCTGGAAATCAATGAACGTGGGTGAGCACACGCACCGGCGATGTCAAAGACGACCGAGCTGAAGTCGCGGCTCACCATGGTGGGCATCTTGAGGTCGAAGTACTTGGAATAGAGCTGGCTGGGACGAAGAACCTCCATCAACGCCTCCTCGCTCAGCCCTGCTCCCGCCCCCCAAACCACTCGCACGGCCGTTGATGAGCAGCAAAGGCGCAATCATTGCATCAATGTGAACAATAACTCATCGTACCCGCATTCTTGACCATGGCGAGACTGTTGGCGAAGGTGACGATCTCGCCCAGCACGATCTGGTTGAGCGCCAGCTTGAGGGTGGTGGCCCGCCCGATGTCCTCGCTGATGTGGCGCGGCGTGCCGAACGCGGCAAACATGTCCTTGAGCTGCTCGAACTGCTCCGCCGTCGAGCCCACCAGCACCTGTTCGTTGGGTTTGTGTCGTGTGTGCGGTGCTTGCGTTTGTGTGTCGTGTGTGTCGTGTGTACCTGCAGGGCACCCTGCTGGGCCACGGGGGTGGCGCCGAGCACGGGAGCCTCTACGAAGGAGGCGCCGAGGGCGAGCACGTCGCGCTGGAAGCGTTGGTTGTCGGCCGGGGCGACAGTAGCGCAGTTGACCAGGGTGCGCCCGCGCAGCGCTTCGCGCACGGGGCCGGAGTCGAGAATGGTGGCCTGCACCGCGCCAGCGTCAAACAGCATCGCCACCACGACGTCGGCCGCAGCCACCGCCTCCTCCACGCGGTCCACCACCACCGCACCAGCTTCTCTGCATGCACAGCAGCCGGTACAAATAACAATAAAAATAGATGCATCGATGGTAAGAAGCGAGGTGGGAAGAGGAGGGCGCACTGCAGTGGGAGGGCTTTGTCCTTGGTGCGGTTCCAGACCCACACCTGGTGGCCCTTCTTCAGCAGGTGCTCAGCCATTGGGTAGCCCATCGCCCCTGCACACACACATCCTCAGCAACGTACAGCGAGCGGCAGGAGAGCAGGAGGCGGCTATGGGCCTATGGTACCAACACCCAAGAACGCCACACGCAGTGTCATGACCGGCAGTCGATGCACGCAAATACAAATGACTTCAAAAATACCAAAGAAAAAAAAATCTGGCCTGGGGGAAACTGTCGGAAACTCAATTTCTTTTAAAGCACTTTTGGCAGACTGTGTTGGAAATGGTTTGGAATCCTGCGCCCGTACGGTGGAAGTGGCGGGGGAATGAAGGCATTCTAAAAATGTCACGCTTTTTTTATTTCTGTGCAGCATTTAATTTGTTTTGGGTTTAGCATTTTCTTGGTTCTTCTTCGCTGGCCTTTTCGACGGAGAGCCGACAGCGCACGAGACGGTCTCCCGCAACGAGTTACATCTGAGAAGGTAACAACCCATCTATCGCCACGCGGTGCTCCGTATGAGATGAGGACAGGAACGGAATCGGAGGATCACGTGCGAACCCGAAATTGAAAATTTTGTCATTTCATCGCTTCACATCTTCATTTCTTGGACCATTGCGGCCCTTCTCTTTGTTACCATACTTATTCCAACGTTGTCACAGATCCCGATGACTTCTCGTGATGAAGGCTATGGCGTGAATGGCCTGTCCAAGCCGGCCACCAGTACGCGCAATGCATTGTTATTAGTATATTATTGTTTATTATTACTTTTAAAATAATTACTATTTTTGCTCTGCTTTGACTGTCGGGGCTGTGTAGTGGTG